CCAAGTACAATAATATCGTAGGTAGGGTCCGTTTGGTATACAAAGTATACTATTTCAAAATCTCATTTTAAACACCTCACTAAATTCAGCCTAGACATCATCCCCGTAAGTACATTAATCAGTAATATGACATTAGAATCACTGACAAATCTTATTTTTAAATTCATACCAACAACTATGAATTTAAATATAAATTACACTAAAATAGAATAGAGTGTAATTTAACTTACAGAGATTTCCTAGACAAAAGTTTGGAAATTTGCACGGGCAAAGTTCCTACACGATAGATACTACTTGTCAGACATTCTGGGGTCGCAGGGCTTCGCCGATTTACTAGAAACTAAGGTAAAATAACTATAATTCGAAGAATATTAAGAGAGAGAGAGAGAGAGAGAAAGAGAGAGAGAGAGAGAGAGAGAGATAATGTGAGAGAGAAAGAGAGAAGGCATATAGGGGTGAGATACAGAAAGCTTATATGAAGGGTGGTATTTATAGCCCAAAAAAGAAATGTGTGTCGTATACCCTGTCGGTGCGTCCCGCGCACTATGTTGGAGGTAGTGATGTGACATTCATCTAGTGGTGACACGTGTTGCAATGTCGTGGGTTATCAATGTGCATCGCGCAACTTGTCTGTGCGCGAATTTTTTTGTAAAATCTTAGAAAGCTCATAATTCTTCATACGAGCTCCGTTTTCGATGGGTTTTTTTCATCCATGTGTAGCTATCGACGAGATCTACAACTTTTATTTAGAGCCCTTTGGGTAATTTTGACTTTATTTTTAAAATTATATTTTTAATAGGCTTAGACTGTTAAAGTACGTTAAAAATTCATAACTTTCTCGTCTGATGTCCGTTCTCGACTGTCTTTATATCGACAGACTCCTATTAATGAGTTATTCAATTCTCGTTTAGATTGTTTTAGCTAAAAATCAACCAATAAAAAATTGCTTTATGAGTTGTGTACTTTTATGCTAAATCTTTAAAAAATCATTACATCCTCTAATGAAGTCAGATTTTGACGTTCTCTATATGTACGCTCTCAGTTTAATGACTATTACGACTTTCGTTTAGATCATCGAGGCTAAAAAGTAATCTATCAAAAATTTACTTTTTTACGATACGTAAAGTCGTTTCATTTTAATAACAAAATTTCGAAGAAGCATTACTTCTTCCTACGAAGTCAGATTTCAGCGTCGTGGGCCTTCTTTGGCTATGTCGTGCTCTCTAGCAGAAATACCCATTTCTTCATTAAGAATTGAATTCCTAAAGACCAGGGCCCATAACATCAGATCTGGTACTTAATAACTTTATAATGGATAAAGTTTTCAAATTTATTCATTAGGATGGTCCAAACTACCAAAATCTAAACTTTTAACCTCAAAGGAACTAAAAATGCATCTTTCTCAACTTAATCAATTAAATAAAAAAAAAACATAATCAACATTCCTATTATAATCATGTAATTGTTGGAAAAACATAATCATAAGTTGTAATTGTGCAATACTTTCTTAATCACTTTTTAGGTTGATCGGACTTATTAATGTGCTTATCGAAAAACAAACCATATTTGTCTAGCACATGATAACACACTTTTCTAGAATGACATCAAAATTAGTTTTTTGGTTCACTTTAAAAGCTAATGAAATGATTAATAGAATATGTTAAAATGATACATAAAAAACAACCTAACAGTGTTGTCGAAATATATTATTTGATTTAAAATAATAATGAAAACAAAAAATATTTAAAATAAATTAGAAGTGGTGGAGATGAATGAGATTTTTTTTAAAGTTTTTTGATTTAAAATAATAATGAAAACAACTAAAAGAAATTAAAAACATTTAAAATAAAAAAACGATAATTAAGAAAGTTAATATTTAAAATAAATTAGAAGCGTGGAGATGAATGAGAATTTTTTTAGGTTTTTTTGATTTAAAATGATAATGAAAACAACTAAAAGAAATTAAAAACATTTAAAATAATAAAACGATAATTAAGAAACTTAATATTTAAAATAAATTAGAAGCAGTGGAGATGAATGAGAATTTTTTTAAGGTTTTCTTGATTTAAAATAATAATGAAAACAACTAAAAGAAATTAAAAACATTTAAAAATAAAAATGATAATTAAGAAAGTTAATAATCCAGTAAAATAATATTTATTAATATGTAATATTTCAACTAAAAAGAATTAAACAAAAAAATTAAAAGAAATTAACAATCTAATAAAATAATATTTATTAATATAAATAATGATATATTAAAAACAATATTTATTAATATATAATAATTCAAATAAAAATATTTAATTTACTAAAATTTTTAAAAATAATAGTTAATCATATAAAAATAATAATCCTACAAAATAATATTTATTAATATATAAATATTGTATATTAAAAATAATATTTATTAATATATAATAATACAATAAAAAAAAGAGTTGATCCAATAAAAAGAAATTAAAAAAAATTAATATATAAGACTAATTGAATAACATTAAAAAGAAAAAATACATAAATGACCCATATAATTTGAATGCAAAAATGGTCCCTAGGTAAATTTATTATTTAAAAAAAATTAGCGACCATTCTTTTAAAGTTAACAATTTTAAACAAAAAAAACACTCAAAAAATTTGTTAAATTTAACTAGTAATGTACAACCAAACATTTTGCAAAAATAAGGACCACATGATATTTTAACAATTTTGTCAACATTTTCAAATATACAAAAAAAAAAAAAAAGAAAAAAAAAATGATAACTTTTACTTTGAACATGAGGACTGTACATGATAATGGATGTGCCGCCAGTCACCGGATTCCTGCCCAATACGTACCCCTTTACCGTAGATCCGTAATGTTTCGGTATTATTCAATTGCTTCTCGTCTCGTGTAACTAGTCACGTGGCACGACATATCACGTGAATCCACCGTCACCAATATCAGATTTGCAATATTGATAAGAAGTTTTCGGGTCGGGTATTTTTCTAATGGGCGGTATCAAATTTTATATACACTAAATTTTAAAAAGACATTAAGATCCAAAAGTTTGGTTTGGATGCAAGTTATCTTATTTCTTCAATTTATTGTAATATTGAAACTATTAAAGTTGTTTATAAACAATATTTTAAAATATTATTTGAGATACCTTTTGACATAGATTTCATGAATCTTTTTTCCATTTTTTATATATGTTTTCCATGTATTTAAATATTTTATGTTATTTAATACTTTTTTTGGAACGGCAAATACTTATAATCTACTTTATCAACTAGTGTTTTTATCAAATAATATTATTCACTAGCTAATAATTAATTATTCATTTAGCCTTGATTACGAAATTCAAATGTTAAATCAATATAATTGTATTTATGTACAAATGAATTCAAAATTTCTTGGAGGTAACACATTTACATCTTAAATTTAAATTTATTAGTTAGTGTTACCCTACATTTATTGTTTTGTTTATCTTTCTTTCTCGTTCCCTTTTTTAAATATATATGGCTTCGAATCAATAAGCGTGAGTTACATTAAATTTAATCAACTCTAGATTAGATCGGACAAGTTAAGTATTATAGATTTATTATATCAAATTGATTTTTTACGGCAATCAACGATTCAACGTTTTGTACTTTGACCAGTCTCATAAAAGCCTTAGTTTTCTTTTACAAGATTTTCTTTTGTGATTTACAAGCTTAAATATATTAGTGACATATATTATGTTTTTTATGTTTTTAGATTGTCGACCAACATAGTAGACGAAACATCATAGTTATCTTTATTTTGTACTTTGAGAAAGACTTTTTTTATTATTATTTTTATTTTAATAGAGTATTATAAAATGGAAAACTGTATTATTTTACCAACGAGCAATAAACCTCGTCTCAAAATTTATGTAAAATTAAAATTACGGATCACTAACAATATTATAGACATGTAAAAGTTTGACCTCGGACATCATGTATGAAATTATACATCTCAATCTCCGGATATGATGACGAATATAATATTACTAGGTGATAGGACTCTGTAAACATAAACTATTGATCTTTAAAATAGTTCTATCACATAACACAACAAGTATCTCTTTATATAGCTCAACATATTTTATTTATTTATATATTCGGGACTTGAATACATATTAAACATTAGTTTATTAGAAGTACAAAACTTGAATACATTTTAAACATTAGTTTATTTTATAAATAGAAATAAACGCATGGAGTTGTTTCTTTTCTTCTTCAAGCATCCTAAAACCTCTTATATATATATATATATATATATATATATATATATATATATATATATATATATATATATATATATATATATATATATATATATATATATATATATATATATATATATTGTAAGTATAATTTTTTTCAACATAAAATTCTCTTGTCTATTTAATGACTTCATGAGATGTTTTATCTTTCATTAACTCAAGTTGTTCCTTTTTATTGTGTTGACCGAATTGAAGTAAAACTTTTTTGTCCATCATCAACCCGGTGTGTTGCATTAGTTTCTCAGTACAAGACTATTCAAACAATGTCATATTGTGTTTGTAGTCTTTGTTGGGAGTTGTATTAGTTGACATGCCAACAGAGAGACAAAATGACAAAGGGATACATGGAGAGGAACCCAAAAGAAATATGAAAATGGTATAGTAACGGGTAGAATGATTTGGATTTAAAGGAAGGGGGGTGGGCGGGGGTTAAGAAATATCAATTTAAAGAAAGATAGTTCTTAAAGCAACCCAAATGTCACGCATTAAGTAAAGCTTCACGCCCGTGAAATGCTACAATGCCAAGATTTTCTTGGCCAGAAAAATAATTACTAAATAAAAATGAGCGATAGCGGCTGGAGAGTAGTTCACCGGAAATAGAGGCCGGCGACCAACCAAGAAACCACGTATTTCGTTACGAACGTGCCAAAGGAAGCAAAGAAAGGAGAGCTGTGGAAATTTTTTGAGAAATATGGAAAACTTTCAGATGTATACATGGGGCAAAAGCTGGGGAAGAATAAACAGTACTACGCGTTCATTAGATACAGAGGGGTTGGCAATGCAAAAGAGCTGGAAAAAAGATTGGTCGGTGTAAAAGTTGGAGAAAAGATACTTGCAGTCAATATCGCCCTTCATGAGAGAAAGGTCCCAGTAAGGAATCAAACCCCAAACGAGCAATATAGGAGGAGTAATGTCGAACATACAGCCATGACCCGAAACTATGGAACAAAAACGGGGGCTAATCTAAGGGATCATCGCTCGTATGCTGACATATTGAAACCGGTAAATGCAGCACAAACACATCCCCCAAGCCCACCACCTCCGGTACCCGTCATCCTCCACCCTGAACAGGCCACAAGTAGTTGGTTGCGAAAAATATCACTAGTTGGAGAAGCAGCATCGCTAGAACACCTGGGCAATCTTCCAAAACTCCTCCTGGATAAGGGAGAGACATGTGCTGAGGTGAAATACATTGGTGGCTTAAGAGTCTTAATGATGTTCGATTATTCCATAGCAGCTAAGGAATTCATGTTTGATGAACTTAAGTGGAAGGAATACCTAAAGTGGGTGCGGTGGGAAAATCAAGTCAATTCACATGAAGAACGTGTTGCATGGATCAGAGTTACGGGGCTCCCACTACACCTGTGGGGGCAGCGTAATTTTCGGTCTATTACCGATAGGTTCGGGAAGACGATAGCACCATTTGAAGACATTCCTCACAGAGTGGATCTATCCCATGCAAAGATCGGATTACTAACGCACAGGAGGACTCGTATTAACGATGAAATACAAGCGATGTTTGAAGGGAAAGTATACAAACTTGGCATCATCGAATTTGACGAAGATTGGTTTCCATTCAAATTCGATCCTCCTGAAGACGGCAACAAAAAGACGGTAGGTGACGTTGAGATGCCAGAGCATAACGACGAAAGGGAAGAAGGGGAGATATGGCCGGAAAACAATGAAATTGATGATCAAGATCTGGGGGAATCTAGGGTTCCGACGAGTGAACCTAACAGGTCGGAGAAGGAAGCAGAAGCGTCGGTGCAAGCGAAAGTATCGAGGGAAGAAGCTGAATGGACACCTCGAAATATGGAATTCCAAATGGCTAACGGTCAGATGGAACAACCCAGTCACGGGAATGATGCATATCAACTGGAGCCTAGTTCTTCAAAGTCAAATACAATACACGACGGGCCTGGTAACGGTCTTCCCCCACTTGGCTGTTTTGGGCCTTTTCCATCTCCAACTATATGCAACGAAGCCCACACTTTCATATTGGGTAGGTCCAATGGGAAAAGGAGAAGAGTATTAAATAAAACTCCTAGTATTAGTCTTGTGACTGAAACGGGTGGTGATATAGATCCGATGCCACATACTGTCCCTCTGCCGGAATCCCTACCTAACTCCCCAATAGAAAATCAAATTGACCTCAATACCCCTCCTATACAGCAGGCGGAGTTCATAGATGAATACCCCCAAAACCTCAGACGATCTGAAGCTATAAAAACAGCCGAAATAGGAAAAGAACTGGGTTTCGACATCAACCCTGATGACCCTATTCTTCGGGAAGCCATGGGAGATGAAGGTGAGCACCGTGAGTTGTAATGAATTGCCTAAGTTTGAACGTAAATGGGATAGGCGAGGCTCATAAAGTCAGATGGATCAAAAGACTTAAAATCCAAAATAGTATCTCATTCCTGGGAGTGCAAGAAACTCAAATTACAAACACTGAAGCAATAGATGTTCGTGGGTGTTGGGACTCAGAGGAGTTTGGTTTTTCGGCAACGCAATCGATGGGAAGATCGGGCGGTCTGTTGAGCATATGGGATACAAACATCTTTGAGGTGCATGAAATTATAAAATCAAGCCGCTTCTTGATAACAATCGGTGACTGGGAAGGAATTTCAGGTAACACGATACTGGCAAATGTATATGGTCCTCATGATCTGGACGAAAAGAAAAGACTATGGGATGAGCTACTACAGATTAGAAGGGAGAGGCAAGGAACATGGATTATGCTTGGAGATTTCAACACAGTAAGAAGAAGAGAGGAGCGTCTCAACTCCCAATTCTGTGCCTCCTCTGCGTTTTATTTCAACAAATTCATTTCAGAAGCAGGCCTTCAAGATATCAGAATGGGGGGGAGTAGATACACCTACTGTTGTAACTCACTCAACAAACCAGCAAACTCGATAGATTTCTGGTATGTAATAATTTTGTCGACTCCTTCCCATTTACTTCAACCACTGCCCTGCCTAGGGAGTTGTCAGACCATTGCCCGATAATCCTTCAAACATCTTGTGTGGACTTTGGAAAACCCCCGTTCCGATTGTTCAACTCCTGGCTCGACCGAGAAGGTTTTGAAGAAGTTGTTAAAAATGCCTGGAAGGAATTCCAGGGCTATGGAGCTCCGGATATGTATATGATGGCCAAAATGAAATTTCTAAAAAATAGGATAAGGGGCTGGCGGGCCACACATCATCCCAAGGAGGTGAAAGAAATGCAGGAAATTAAAAGAAGAATACACGAGATCGACCTCCTAGCAGAGGTTCGACTACTTTCAGAAGAAGAGATTAATGAAAGAAAGGCAGGATTCCAAAAATTGGCGGAAATGGAGAGGTTCATGTCATGTGATATTAAACAGAGGGCGAAAATTAAGTGGGTAATCGACGGGGATGAAAACTCTTCCTTCTTCCATGGCTTTATTAACAACAAAAAAAGAAAGAACAGGATCGCTGGGATGCTTATTGACGATCAATGGACCATAAATCCTGAAAGAATAAAAGCTGAGATCTTTAACTTCTATCAAGAGAAATTCAGAGAAAAGTGGCCATCCAGACCAAAGTTCAATAGCTCCAGATTTCGTGTCTTGGATCCATTGGAAAGTTCAAACCTTGAAGCCCCATTCACAGTTGAGGAAATAAAAGAAGCAATTTGGTCATGTGGAAGTGACAAGAGTCCCGGACCGGACGGATTTTCCTTTAAATTCCTTAAGCGAAATTGGGAGTTAATGAAACACAATATATTGAACACAGTTAGATATTTTGAAAGCTATGGAGTCATTAATAGGGGAAGTAATGCTTCATTTATCACCCTCATTCCCAAGATAAAGGACCCGCTCACAATCGGGGACTATAGACCAATAAGTCTAATTGGTAGCATGTATAAGATAATCTCAAAAATTCTATCTAATAGGCTGAAAAAGATCATTGGGGAGTGTATTGGGGATGTCCAATCGGCATTTATAGAAGGGCGTAACATTCTTGAAGGCCCACTAATAATCAATGAAATGTATTCGTGGGCAAAAAAATCGAAAGAAAAAATGCTACTCTTTAAGGTAGACTTTAACAAAGCTTTCGACTCGGTCAATTGGGAGTATCTTGACCATGTCCAAAGGCAACTGGGTTTTGGTGAAAAATGGAGGAGATGGATACATAGTTGCCTGAAATCTGCAACATTGTCGGTCCTAGTCAACGGATCGCCAACTAGGGAATTTGAAATGGGGTGTGGAGTAAGGCAAGGTGACCCGCTGTCCCCATTCCTCTTTTTAATTGCGATGGAGGGTTTGAATATTGCAATGAAGGAGGCTTGTGCAAAAGGTATCTTCACAGGAACGAGAATTCCCAATAGTAACCTTACCCTCTCTCATCTGTTTTATGCCGACGATGCTCTCTTTGTTGGTGAATGGAGTGAGGAAAACATTAATAACCTCGCCAGAATTCTTCGTTGCTTCCATGTTTCGTCGGGTTTAAAAGTGAATTTCAATAAGTCACGGGTATTTGGAATTGGGGTGGATAAACAGGAAATAACAAGTTTAGTGGAGCCGCTTGGATGTAAACCGTCCGACTTACCATTCACATATCTCGGTGTGCCTGTAGGGGCGAATATGAAATTCAAAAGACACTGGACGCCTGTAATAGAGTGATTTCAATCCAGACTGAACCGTTGGAAGTCTAAGACCCTATCCCTCGGGGGTCATCTAACTCTTGTGAAGGCTGTTCTCGGCAGCCTTCCCACCATTTATTTCTCACTATTTGTTGCTCCTATAGGTGTTATCAAGAAACTGGAAAGCATAAGAAGAAGATTCCTATGGGGAGGTGCGGAGGATCAAAAGAAGATTAACTGGGTGGCATGGAAGTCGGTGACTACTCCAAAAGAAATTGGCGGATTGGGGCTGGGATCTCTCAAGGCGATCAACCTCTCTCTAATCACAAAATGGATTTGGCGGCTGAAGGTTGATAAATCGGGATTATGGTATACGGTTGTTAAAGGGATTCATAATCTCTATAATAAGCCTGCACAACATATCTCAAAAAAATCACTACCTGGAATTTGGAACTGGATTGCTGGAGTACAAGATGAACTGAAACTATTTGATATTGATATAGAAGAATTAATGGTGAAAAAAATTGGAGCTGGAGATGAGACTATGTTTTGGCTTGATAGATGGATTGGTAATTCGACACTAAAGACATCATTCCCTGAAGCATACAAATTGGAACGCAACAAACACTGTAAAATCAGTGATCGTATACAAGATGGTGCCACGATCTGGGATTGGAAGTCAGCACCAAGGAATCCGGAGGCGGTCAGTGAGATTGCCCAGCTGTCCCTCAGAATCAGTGATTTCCAAACCACGCAGGGAAATGATAAGTGGGTGTGTACCCTGGCTAGCGATGGGGTATTCCACGTTGATAGACTCAGAAAAAAAATTGATCAATGGAACTTACATATGGAGGAGACTACACTAAAATGGGTTCATGAAATCCCACTGAAGGTCACCTGCTTCATTTGGAGGGCAAAATTGGAAAGAATCCCAACTGCTTGTGCTCTCCTCAAACGCGGTATCCAGATCACCTCCCCAATGTGTTCATATTGCGAGAATGCAGAAGAAGATACAGCACATGTGCTTTTCCGTTGTACGATGGCTGTAAGGGTATGGGAATGGGTGCTTAGCTGGTGTGACCTAGCAAATGTTCACTTTGAATCCGTTGAGGAGATGTTGGCATTCACAGCGTAGTGGGGATTATGTGAAACGAAAAGGAGATCCTTAATTAGTATTTGTTATGGGACTACTTGGTTGCTTTGGAAGGCAAGGTGTGATTGGGTGTTCAAAAAAGCAAGAACTTCCCCTGCCAAAGTGGTTGACCTGGTAAAATCAACGGTGTTCCTATGGATGAAATATAGGAGAAAACAATGTACTTTTCAATGGAATGATTGGTGTATCAATCCTTTTATTTGCATGTAAAAAAAATTTCTTGTACTCTTTTCCCCCACCCTAGCGTCTTGCTAGGTTGGTGGTTTTTTTTTTTAATATTATTTGCCGGTTCCAAAAAAAAAGTAAAGCTTCACATAAATAGTAGTTAATGGTTCTAGTAATTCCATTTATAGTCCCGAAGCATGTGGATACTCAAGCGTCTCATTCAAACATGAAAAATTATAGATGTGGATAACATGTATCATTTCTTATATAAAGTTACGATCATGGTACATTATCACTTACCCCTAAAATTACAGAACACAAATCCAGTTAAAAATAACATAATCATCAATGGTAGCTTCAAACCTTTGTAACAAAACTCAACAAGAGAGAGAGAGAGAGAGAGAGAGAGAGAGAGAGAGAGAGAGAGAGAGAGAGAGAGAGAGAGAGAGAGAGAGAGAGAGAGAGAGAGAGAGAGAGAGAGAGAGAGAGAGATCTCCACCTTGATTTGATGATGGATTATGAAAGCATAAAAAGTAAAAGAGACATGGGATGTAATAGATGTCATTTGACAACAAAAGATGACATTATTATTGGTTGTTGCTATGTTCCCCAATTCTGTAAGCAAGAAAATCACAAAATTATACATTGTTGAAGTAATGAAGAGATCTATGCAACAACAACCAACTTTGGAGAAGGTGTTGACAGTTATTAAGCAAAAAATAAGTTTCAATGTATCAATACTTAACGAACTCATCCAAATGTAAATGAAAAAACATATTTTCGGTAATAATATAATTTGTACTTTGAGAAAGACTTTGTTTGAAAGCACTTATTTGAGTTTCATACTTGCAGATCTTGAAACATGATAACATTTAAAACATAATGCAAAAAATCCAAAAAAAAAAAAAAAACTTATCTTATCTTTTCAGTCAATCATGCATTCGTCAAGCAAATCAATCTTTTTCTTGATCATGTGGCCAATAAAATCGACGAACTACATTAAAGACTAAATAAGCTTGGTATGAAGTGTCATTGAATTGTATATTAAGACTTCTGCCACCGACATACTTAAAGAGACTAAATAAGAATAAAGTGTGTCCAAAGTATTCATATGCTCATCAATAACTTTGATGGTTTCTTCTATCTATAGATTTTGTTCTTTCCATGTCGTATTCAATATTTTTATGTTTGAAAAGCATAACTTCTTGTGTTGAGCATAAAATTGACATTATATGTGAAACAATTCTTGGGTTCATATGAAGAAAATGTTTGTACACAACGATTTTGTAAATAACTTGTTTATGTAGCTACAATTACATAAAGAAACAAGGTTTATTCCAAATTCAAGCTAAATATACCGTTATAATCATTGAAGGTGGTTACAATTTTAACATTCAAAACA